TGTAATTAAAAATTATTTTCTACTTTTTACTTCGATTTGCTATAAAGCGTGTTTTATTAAAATGTTATTTATTTTTAAAATTGTTTTCGGAGGAGTTGAAAATGTGTGAGTTGTGGTTTGTAGGGTTTGATGGGGAGTTGTTAATGTCGTATCTTTGACATTAATTAAAGACACTCTATGATAAACAAGCTTCTGGTCCTGGTAATATGCACCTGTTAGACATACTCGTAACAGTCGAATTTTCCATATTTAAACGGAAACATGTCAAATTTGTTTTATATAGTTTGATACAAAGAAGCTCACAATATGTTTCTTCTTCATTTGAGTCTTTTTTAAACAGAATTGAACCATATTTTGTTGAAATCTTGGAAGTTTGAGATGGCCAATTTATCTGACTCCACTTTTTTAGAAATAGCAGCTTCGCTGCCTAAATATTTTTTGACAGGGGGAAGCTTTTGTAGCCACTCTCAGGGAGACAAACTCGACAGTATTGCTCTGCCGGCCCTACCTGCCCGAAGTGTGAGTTTCTCCAGAAATAGCATACTCACTCCCTCAATCGTTCGCCATGATAATGATTACAGCATTTCTTCATAGTGGGTAGCAGTTTTCATACTGACGGTGTAGTCATCTGCTCTGTATCGTACACATATATACTTAGTTAGCCACCCACGTGCAGGGTGGCCAACCAAGGTTTCTTCTCTCCTGACATCTGTAAAAAGCGCCTCTCTTCCGTTGCTTTTAGCTTCGACGCCCTTTTTATAGAGTGCAGATCTCTCCGCAGCCAGCAAATCATTTGGTGGAATACCAGCTACCACCAGCAGTGTATCGGTCGACACTGCCTTGACTTACTACATCCGACTGTATTTGGAGTCAAAGAACTGTATATGATTGAGTCGTAGAATTGAGGTTAAGATTCGTCTCTTTCAGACTAGTAGGAATTAGCTACGGGAAACCTATTGGCAGTAATGTATTTCTTCCAAAAATTGTGAACAACGCCTTCTAACATTAGATCCTTGGATTATAAATTCGGCAGTTAGCGTAAAACGTTGGCGTACCTTACGAAATAATTCGATAATGACTTATTTGAATTTGACTATATTTTAAAATAGGATTATTTAATATACATCCTTGTGTGGACGGCATATTACTCATAAACAAATACATTTTGGGAAATCTATTAATGAGATGTTAAACATAACATTTAAGGGCACATTTATACAATATTAGCCATTATACAGGGTGTCCCAATCTTGACCTACATGCCAAAGAAAGTGTTTTTTTAAGTAGAATGCGTTAAATTGTATTGCATATTTAGATAAACTAATTCAAAAGAAGAATATTGATATAACATACTATAGGGTTTTTGTAATTAGCTACTGAGATGTAAGGTGTTTTGTCCAGAAAAACCGTCCACTTCGGCAACTCCTCAATCCGCCATTTTGAAATTTGAAGTGCTGAATTTTGTATAAAAAAAACTTACACATCTCAGCTTTTATCTTATCTGTTACTTTTTCGAATTTTCATTTTTGCTCATACAGGGTGGTCTAAAACAAAAATTGCAAATGCATCAGCCTGTATATTTGTGCAAGTTTGGATTCAATTTTTTATAAGCTTTTTTCTGGTATAAGGTTTGATTCAGATGAAATCACACACCAAAATTAAAGATAAAAATCACATCATCCATGGAAACAAAAGACAAACAGTGGGCTAGTTCCATATTGCCACTAAGAGTACAGATTTGACGTAAAAACTAATAAAAATCAGAAAAGCATCTTTAATCCTTTCCTTCATATTTTCCGGGGTACATGGTGGATATGTATAAACCTCTAGCTAAACATAGCCCCATAGAAAGAAGTCTATCGGTGTCATATCTGGTGATCTAGGAGGTCAAGATATAGACCCATCACGGCCGATCGTACGATTGTTACTCCAGGTGTCCAAATAGTTACGCACACGATTATGTTAGTGCGCTGGTGCGCCGTCATGTTGGAAGTACATATGCATCCGAGTTTTTAGGTCGACATCCTCCAAAAGCAAGTATTTTGTACCTGTTAATCTGTTGTAGAAAAAGAAACGCCCGATGACTTGTCTGTCAATAACTCCTCCCAAAGCATTTAAGCTCCATTTATTTTGGAAATCTATTTGCCTAACCCAGTAAGGGTTTTCCGTCGCATGATAGTACATGTTAAAAGTTGCCTCATCGCTAAAAAGAACCTTATCCAGGAAAGTAGTGTCTTCACTCACTTTATTTAGCATTATTCTACTAAACTCCATTTGAGCTGCGAAATCGTGAAGACGAAGGCCTTGATGCAAGCATAGGAGATATGGATGGTCCTATGCTTTGGACAGAAGTTCTGCATATATCCGTGTCTGCTCCAATTTGCCGTGGACTTAAATGGGGATTTTCCTGCGACTTTAATAGCACCACCAACTGATTCGCCTCATTGGTGACACTTGGATTATTTATACATTTTTTACTATATTCCACTGTTCCACTTGATTCAAAACGTTCTCGTAGCGTGGAAAATGTTTCCGGCCTTGAATGTCGCATATTAGGGTACCGTTGCAAAACGAACACCATATTCACCATTTCTTCTTTAGAAAAATTTATTTTCAAACACGTTTTTATTATATTGCTCACAAAGCTAATTTTGACAGTTTGTAATTAATCAACAATTTATTTGTTTCCAAGGATGATGCGATATTTTAGGGAAGTAAGCCGTTCCATAAAAGACGTGCTAATAATAATAAATAATGATAAAAATAGTCATAAAAACCCTTATGTGTCTAGTATCAAAAAAAGCTTATAAACAATTGGATCCAAAAATTAAAATTAAAAAAAGTAACAAATAAGAGAAAAGCTGAGGAATGTAAGTTTTTTTTTGATACAAAATTCAGCACTCCATATTTTAAATTGGCGGACTGAGGTGTTGCCGAAGTGGGGGGTTTTTCTAGACAAAACACCTTATATCTCAGTAGCTAATTACCAAAACCTCATAGTATATAATATCAATTTTCTTCTTTTGAATTGATTTATCCAAATATGCAATAAAATTTGAGTAATTCCTTTGAAAAATCACAACTTTGATATGTACCTAGGTCGAAATTTGGACACCCTGTATGATGGCTAATATTTTAGAAATGTGCCCTCAAATGTCATGTGTAACATCCCATAAATATACTTTCCCAAAATGTATTTGTTTATGAGTAATATTCCGCTCACACATCTATGGCTCACCCTGTATTTCTATCGAAGTGTGTAATTTAAAAATTTTGTAAGTACTGAGAACTTATAATAATTATCCTTTTAATGAAATGATACAATTTTCTCGAACTGGTGGTACCTTGACAAAATGAAACTAGATATTTATTTTCAAGAAACAAATGTGTAAAACAATCCTGATTCCTGAATCCAGATGGTAGTAGATTAGGATGTAGGTGAGACAGAATATTATTCTAACGAATTAACATAAGATATCCGTATAGATCGAAAAGTCTCATTCACCAACTTTTTAAACAAAAGAATCACCGATTCTTCGGTAAAGCAAAAATATACTAAGTGACATATAAATCCGAACACCCAGTTTAAATGGTTTTATTTTAATAAAATTTTGTATAAGTACTTAATGAAGCATAATAAGTAAATGATAAAAATTTCAAAATGATTGCACTGCTTTAAAGCCCTTTGACCTTTAATAATCTCCTACCCATCATATCCCACACGTGCTCAATTGGGGATAAGTCGGGAGATCTTGGTGGCCATGGTAACAATGTGACATCATTATGTTGAAAGAAGTCTATTGTGACTCTTGCAACATGTGGTCGGGCATTATCTTGTTGGAAAGTTGGATCTGCCAGGGTGTCAAGATAGGGTAAAAGATGGGGTTCTAGAACTTCGTGGATATAACGCTGCTCGTTCATGTTATCTCTGATGAAGATTAAAGGTGACCTGGAACCATAAGCTATAGCACCCCAAACCATAACTCCAACAGTGTGATGAACATGTCTTTCAACAAAAAACTGTGGATTCCTCCTTTCACCACGTCGCCTTCTAACCCTGGCACGACCATCGTGCATGCCTAAACAAAATCGAGACTCGTCACTAAAGACAATACTGTTCCATTCCTGATCCCAGAGTGACCGTTGTCTGCACCACTCAATGCGATTACGTCGGTGTTCTCGAGTTAAAGGGAGGACCCAGTGTGGCTGGTATGAAAACAAGCCAAAACTTCTCATTCTTCGGTAAACACTTCGCATGCCAATAGGTCTTCCGTGTTCTGCAAACCATTCATTTGCAATGGACCTGGTAGTGGAAAAACGGTCCCTTAAGGCCAATAATCTTAGGCGGCGATCTTCACGGTCTGTTGTTCTACGGCGGCGTCCAGTGCCCCTTGCTCTTTGCGTACGGCCTTCTCGAAGCCATGCCTGACAACACCTAACCACACTTCTTTGCACTCTAACTGCAATTGCCCGAAAAGAAAGTCCAGCTTCCCGAAGTCCCACTATACGGCCCCTATCAAAATCACTAAGTTGACGAAATCGTACAGGTCTCCATACTCTAGGCATCGTAATCGATCGTAAAGTATGTCAAGAACCAAAATCCGTTAGTGAATTAAAAAAAAAGCAGTATAAAAACCGGAATGTCCAACTGATAAGGCTGAAAATTTGTTCACTTGTTATTTACAGTAAGATAAATACATTCACCAACATTTATTAAAATAAAACCATTTAAACTGGGTGTTCGGATTTATATGTCACGTAGTATATTATTATAATAATAAATAACTAAGAATATTTGCTTAATTTAAACACAGAAATCACAAATATAGTGGCTGTGCGCCGAGTATGGAGTGAACCACAGCCTGCATGCATCTAATTTGTACACTGGTTGCACCTGATCATATCCCAGCACGATGTTCCGCTATAATTTAAGAAACCAAATGTTAGTACAGGTTATCCAGTTTGATTGACACTGATTGATATTTCTACTTCCCACTTATCACACTCTTAACTTACTCTTTTATTGCAGTGGTATTAGCCAGAGTGAAAAGAGAACGAGTGTTCAACGACACAAGGATGTTCAAAGTTCGAGTAAGAAAAGAGTACAAGGTATCAGAAAAAGGAATCATAGCTTTGAAGTCTGGAAGAGTACTCACTCCAGAGTCAGATGGAGTTTGCGGAGTGAAAATGGAAGTAGGAAAACTCTACATCATTTCAGGTGAGATTCTTAATAATACATAGGAACAAAAAACTACGATAATCGTCAAGTTCGGAATACGAGTATATACTGACAAAAAAGGTAAACTCCTACGTATGTTTATTAGAATTCAAGAATTTTTTATATATCAATTTATCTTGCCATGAACAAGTGTTGGTATGGGGTGCTATTGCTTAGATCTCATCTGAGGAAGTATGACAGCCCGACTCCATATTCAGGAAGTAGTGTTGCCTCATCTTATTCCATACATAAACACCATCCAAAACCCAACTTTTCAGCAACCCAATGCCAGGCTGCATGTTGCCAGATCATCTGGGACATGACAGGTCGCAGGCTCTTAAATTTTCAACACTCTCCACAGACTTTAGCAGCCCTTACTCACGAAGTTGCAGTAGCCTCGAATGAGATACCCCAACAGGGTATCGACACGATGCACAGGCGTGTCAATGAGTGTATAAGAAATTGTGGATCCTCAACACATTATCGAACCAGATTCTGCAGTCAGTTGACGAATCAAGCTAAAAATTTAATCATTTTACTAATAAGGGACACTAAACATACAGGCTGGCGCATCGAAAACAAAACAGACGCATTTACTGGCAGCTTATTTTGTTTTGGAAAAACGCTCAGACCCTTTGTTTTCGAGGGGGACACAAGTTTGGCAAAAAATCACGTTAGCACGTGCAGCCCCCTAAGCGGGGTTGACACCATCCCCAAAATCTTAAATGAAAGGGGGGTCGACTGATACCTTATTTTAAGGGTCTTTCAATTCCTTTTATACTGATATAAAATTAATGTACTTCAGTTCAGTAGTTTTGAAGATTTATTGATTTAAAGCTTAAATAAAACTAATACATCATCATTAGTGGAGATGAGTACATTTGGCAGCAAAGTAATTTAAAAATGAAGAATGAACTGACCCGTTAGGCAAGTAAATGTTGAAAATGGCAACCATGACTCTCCATGCAATACTAAGGATTTTGCTCAAAATCGTTGCCGCACATTTTGCAATATTTGAGGAGTAATTTGAAGGCACTCATTCACAATTCTTTGTCGCAGGACTTCTAATGATGTTGGCTGAGTAGCATAGATTTTGCTTTTTAAATGACCCCACATAAAGAAATCCAAAGGTGATAAATCTGGCGATCTTGGGGGCCATTCAATGGCACCTCTTCTACCAATCCATCGATCTGGAAACGTCTGATCTATATATTGTCGAACACGTAATGCGTAATGTGGTGGGGCACCATCCTGTTGGAACATCAACCTATTCTCAATGTACCGCCAATCATTCTGATTTTCAATTATGGCTGTTAATACCAGCCCAAACATTGAATTTTTGTGGCTGCTGTGTATGAACCGCATGATATATTCTGGGATTAGAATCGGACCAATATCGGCTGTTATGACGATTTACTACGCCATTTAAGAAAAAGGAACATTCGTCGGAAAAGCAAGTGTTGAATAGGAAATGTTCATCGTTTATAATACATTCACTAATATCTTCGCAAAATTGTAATCGCCGATCAAAATCGTCTTCATTAAGTTCTTGTACAAGGTGAATTTTATACGGATGAGAACTATGGGCCTTTAGAATCCGTTGGACAGTACGTCGACTAACACCACACACAGTCTCCAATTTGCGGGTACTTAACGTAGCATCCACATAAACTTGCCCTAAAGCCCCCACTTCTATTGCTCCGTTCCTTATGGGATTTTCAATGTTGCTTTTTTTATTGGCGACTGACCCAGTTTCCCGAAATTTAGCTACAAGTTCAAGAACATATTTTGGATGCACGTTACTGTTCTCATGTCGCTCATTAAATATTTCTGCTGTTCTATTAGCGTACTGATTATTTCCGAAAAATATTACGATAATTTCAACTCTTTCTGCTGTGGAATATACCATGGTTAATTTACATATATAATAAAGCGTTACAAGTTATTTTAGCAACAAATTTTGGTCAAATCAATCGCAAACTATGTACTAAATTCCTATTTAAAATAAGTACGAGATATTTCCTTATCTTTCTTCAAGAAATAACTTTTTTGCCACAAAAAACGCTCCTATAGCTATTTTCAACAACAAAATGATAAACAAACCTTGGGCGTAGTGAAGAAAAGCATTTACTTATCAAGTAAATTCTTTTAGTCAAATTTCTTCTGAAAGTAGTACAAACTAGTCTGATGTGCCTATTAAAGTCTACTTTAAGCTTTAAATCGATAAATCTTCAAAACTACTGAACTGAAGCTCATGTATTTTATATCATTATAAAGGGAATTGAAAGACCTTTAAAATAAGGTATCACTCGACCCCCCTTTCCATTTAAGATTTTAGGGTTGGTGTCACCCCCACCAGGGGGCTGCACGTGTTAGCGTGATTTTTTGCCAAACTTGCGTCCCCCTCGAAAAAAAAATCGACGGGTCTGAGCGTTTTTCCAATAAAAAACTGAGCTGCCAGTAAATGCGTCTATTTCATTTTCGAGGCTCCACCCTGTATATGCCAAGAATTATTAAAATATATAGGATAAAGTTACGTGGGTGTCTTCCTTTTTTTGTCACTCAGTATATTATAACGAACCTCACTTTGCTGATCCAAAGAGCAGCGCTGTCAAGAATTCTGAAAAGCGCTAATTTGTTTTTCGGGAGCTTGAGAACTTCTGAATGCAATAGCTGTATCAATTGCATCTTAAAAGTATGCATTTCTTCACATGTTTCATTTGTTATATGATATTGAAACCACATATGAACATTTGGATAGCAAACCCAACTAACAATTATCACTCCTATTAGAGTTGCAAGAATGATTATACAGTATTCCTTACACAGCATTGTATACTGTAAGAACGTTGGCAAAACCCTCTTAGAACAGCTATACAATCGGAATGGGCACACCTAATAGGACACTTCAGTCATTTAAGAGGTTGTATAAGGGCTGCAGGTAACAGTTATACAACAAAAGTGTAAGCCTCTTGCAGCCGCTATAGGAGACATTTGCCTCATTGCAAGATTCAGTTTTTGTCAACTATACAAGTACAGTGAAAGCTCCCATAAGCGGACACTCACGGTTCCGTAACTTTTGTCCGCTTATGGGAGGTGTCCGTTTAAAAGAGAGTATGTAAGTATAGAGTATAAATAACGGGGTATATAATCATGAGGAAATGAGGTATTATAATCATGCGAAAAATGAAACAGAAACTCGCCACATTTTTAAAGTATGTATTTATGCTATACTATATAATATATGTACATATACGCATACAAAAACATAAATGCTTCAATACATGGTACGAGAATTAAAAAAAAACATTATTCTTTAGCTTGTTGAAAAAAGTTTAAAATGTTTGTCTGACGAAATTTCACCATCTTTTGCTGAAGGAGACAATTTTCGTAATAACTTTCTAAATTTTTCAAATGTTGAAATGCAGTGAAATCATCTTTAGCAAATTTTTTCAATATAGAAATATGATTTAGAGCTTCCCCATATGAATTTGTCGTTTTTGAACCGCTTAGTGAGTCCACCAGTTCCACTTCTTCTTCTGAGTCGTTTGGACTACCATATTCAAGTTGGCCTGGGCTTTCTACATCCAAATTCGAAAAGTTGCCAATGGCATTTTCTTCTGTTGTTATGTTATTGTCTATGGCCAGGAAATCATCTACTTTCTGGGGATCTGCTACTCCTAAATGTTTGGCATGTCGCAGTAACTGAGCAAGTGTCGCTAAGGGCAGATCGTCTTCAGCATCGCAATAATTTTGCTCAGCAAATTCTGAGCTACATTCACTTTTTCTGAATCCAGCTTTGCCAAAACAGTTTTTAATTGTAGAGGAATTTACTTTATTCCATGCTGTTTTTATAAAATACAAAGCTTCTAACACATTGATAGACTTTGTAAGCTCAGATAAGCTTTGACCATCGTCAATTTTTGTTAAAATATGTTTTAAAATCAAGTGCCGATAATAAAATTTAAAGTTCTGTATGACACCTTGATCCATGGGCTGACAAACAGAAGTTGTGTTTGGCGGTAAAAATATAATTTTCACATTTTTCATTTTCATATCACGACGATGAGAGCATGCATTGTCTAAAAATAAAAGAACTTGCCTTTTTTGGATTCTCATTTTCCGGTCGAATTCGACTAACCACTCAGACATGATTTCTCGGGTCATCCATGCCTTTTTGTTGGATTTCCAAGTCGCTGGTAGATCCTTAATAGCGACGTTTTTTAAAGCACGGGGACGAGCCGCTTTCCCGATCACAATCAAATCGCATTTTTCACCGGCCATATTTGCACAGAATAAAATGGTTAGTCTATCTTTAAACAACTTTCCACCCACACATGTTTCTCCTTTAAAGGACAGAGTTTTGTCGGGCAATGCGTGAAAAAAAAGTCCACTCTCATCTGCGTTGTACACATCTTCTGGTTTGTAGCCAAGCAACATGGACGGAAGTTTCTTCAAAAATTGTGACACATCAACTTGATCTACTGCAGCAGCTTCACCAGATATGCATTTGAAACTCACACTATGTCTCTTGGGCCACTTTTGCAGCCACCCGTCGGACGCACTGAAATTATTATAGCCCAAAGTAGTGGCGATTTCTTTAGCTTTCATTTTCACTAAAGGCCCTGAGATTGGAATGTTCTGACTTCTAGCTTTCACAAACCACTCAAAACATGTTTTGTCTATAGCAAAACCTTCCTTTTTTAAAAAATCCTTCTTTTGATTTATATTAGTTCCTGATTGCCATTTACTCCTGATATCTTCCTTATTTTTGGCAATTTCAGCTGCTTGCATTTTCCCAATATTAAACCTCTTTGCCAAATGACGAACTGAAACACTTTCTCTGTCTAATACGTTAACAACTTACATCTTTTCCTTTAACGAGAGCATCCTTTTTTTTTGTGCCATTTTACAGTTACAATAATAAAATACGTAACTCAATCAACTACGAATTTGCCTGAACTGAAGACAAGCCACAAGATTACATACAGGCTACCCAACGAAATGCGTAAATGGGGAATCACCTGATATAAATCGGGGAATTACCGAATTTTATGTATGTAGATATGTGCATTGCAATAAGCGGAACTAAAAAATCGTCCGGGTATTAGAGTTTCGCGTCCGCTTATGGGAGATTTTTTGATCACATACAGGAAAATCTAGTGTCCGCGTCCGTTTATAAGAGCGTCCGTTTATCGGAATGCTTTTAACATTGAAAATTGATGGCTGAAATTCGGTTCCAGGAACTTTGTCCGGTTAAAAGAGATGTCCGCTTATAGGAGCTGTCCGCAAGGAGAGCTTTCACTGTATTCTGTTACGTGATTTAACATTATTGCAACCAAACTATTTCTTATGTATTGTATAGACGAAGTGAAGAATATATAACTAACACATTACAGTCATAGTCATCTTGTTTACTCACATATGGTGAATTTCATACATAGGTATATGATAAACTTCTACACTGTGATACAGGGCTACTGAATTACTTGCGCGGCAAATTTTATTGTGATTATCGTGCAAAGTAGTTAAGCAATTTCTACGGGCTTCGTATTTGATTCATATTTTGACAATGATCAAAAGTATGTCTAGATTTTTAAGATGGAAAACTGAACTTATCTGCATTAAATCTTCCACAAATCCTATATTTAGACACAATTACACTAATGTTTATCACTTTATATGTGTACTTTCGAACTGAAACATAATTATTTAATATTGAATAGAGGAATAAATGTTTGCCCAATATGGCAGGTGATTGTGTATAATCATGGCATCGTCCATGTTGTCTTTAGTTTATTAGAATATTTTGGTGTTGCCTGCAGGTGTTATACAACAATTTGACTAATGTCTGAAATGAAATACCGACAGAGTCGAATGATTTACCCAGAATTTGTACCACTATATCTTCTGTTTGAACAGTTGATAAAATCTTTTGAACCAATATGCATGCGTTGTTTATCTTAAAACATTGGTTATGGCATTTTAACAAAAATATGACAGCAGAAAGTTAGGTTATGGTGAAGTTGTATACCAACATATTTAGCATATGTACAGCCTTTAACAGTTACTAAACAACAGTTGTATAAGTGCTTCCGTTGGGAGCAATTTGTTGGCTAAAGTAGTAAATTGCACAGCAAAACAACAAGGCTCCGGTTTGTTTTATAAACGTTATCATGGATGCCATAACACAACCATTTTGACTAACGTGCAAATATGCCGTATAAAATAATTGTATAAACGTTTATGCAACAGTAAAAAATTTGCCCTATAAGGTGTTGAATAACTATGCTATAAGAATATCTTAACCACCTAATTTTAGAGCAAATATGTTGCAGAAAGCAAATTTGCATTCCACAAAACATTAAGTCAGCATTTTGGAGGCAACAACAATAGAGAGCTTTTATGGCTGAACGGTTCTTTTACCAAAAGCTTATACCACTATTTTGCTAGTTGGGAATGCTTGAAAAACGACGAGAGCTTCTCTATTGGATTGACGTCTTATATGTATGCGTCTCATGCATGTATCTTGCAGTATATATTTTATGATGTTTAGGTCGAATTGAGAGTTTGAAAGCTCGTATAAACTCGTGCGGGAGCTGGATCCAGAAATGGGAACACACATCTAGGAGACAGAGGAAAGGGTTGAAGCTGCTGTATAAAAATGGATGCAGTTGCGATGTAAAGTATTGCAGTAAAAAGAAATGTCCAAGGAAGGTCGACAGCTGCACCGCTAATTGGGCCAGCAGATGCGAGGAAAAAGAGGTATATACAGGGTGTCCGCAAAGTTGGGGTTTTCCGTTTCAGAAACAACTACCCTTGAAATAACAAAGGTAATGTGTAGTGAAACGATGGCGACCAAGTAAAAAAAAATAAAGGAAAAAGTACTCACTCTCCAGTTGACGAGAAGGGCTAAGTACGTCTCTGCCCGAAATCATACCGCTCCAACAGAAAATGAAATCAGCTGATGCGCTACCGAGCAGACGCAGGCAAACAAGGAAGGCAAAATGTTGCGTAAAAAGTCTAGGTATTGCATCCCGTCCAATCGATTTGGGAGAATAAATGGTCCAATGAGCATACCGTTCACCATGCCAACCCAAACATTCACCGAAAATGTTTGTTGAAAATGTGCCCGACGGACAGAGTGCGGATTTTCTACTGACCAAACATGAGTGTTGCGAAAGTTATTCACCCCATTACGCGTGAACGTAGATTCGTCTGTCACCAATATGCACAAAAAGTCCGGATTATTGTCATGTTGATGCAACAACCACTCACAAAACCGCACTCTTGCTGGAAAATCGTCAGGTTGAAGGGCTTGTACAAGTTGGACGTGAAACGGATACAGCCCCTCTTCACGCAGCGTTTGCCACACTTTAGTTTTTGATACTTGCACTTCTCTAGCCACGTCTCTAGTGCTTGTTGAGGGATTCTCATCTACGCGATTACCTCTACACGCGTGACCGTAACCGTCGGTTGAAGGTTGCATACTGACCTGACACACTGACCCCGACTCAGTTCTGTCGTCGGGTTGAGCTAGTGTCCTAGTACCACTCGGGGATGTCGCGGCTACAGGACGGTATTCAGATATTTTTGATGTTGCAGAGCCCTTTATCTCGGTTCCCTTAAGACATTGGTGTATATGGTACTAAGAAAAATTGCTTATGTTTTCAAGATCTACACGCCGTGTAAAGGAAAACTCCAACTTTGCGGACACCCTCTATTTCATTGTATTTCAAATCATTAATACAACTTCACCCAGCTGGTATTGTGTAGTGTCTTCCAACCCCGTCGGAGATACACGGCATAGTTAAATGATTATTTTTTTCTCCTTAGGTAAATAATCATAACAAAAGGCAGTAACGTAATTTAAAATTCTGTCCCCTTAATATTTCAATATTGTTCTCTATCACCACGAAAATTGAGTGAAATCGCCGACCCCAAGGCAATGTTTCCTTGTTAGTACTAGGTCGTATATGTTTTCCACTAAACAAAATTTTGTTCCAGGGAATATGTCTTCGGCAGCCAAAGGGCTGCATGTGGATGAAGACGAGAGCGCTGGCACAATGCAGACGAAGATATTTTTATGAGAATCGAGGATTAGAAACTCTAACATGAATTTTCCAGGCATAATGTAACTTTTGCTGTGTGTTTGTCGGATGAGATTGTCAGAAAATATTTTAGTCTTAGTACCTCATACCATAATACAATTATACATCTGTCTCAGAAAAATTACAAAGACAATGGTAATATGCGGAGATACCTCAGAAACAAACATTATATTCGTGATGTATTGTTAAACTCAAGGAGACATAATGGGGTTATAAAAAACAGTTTGCTTAACCAATGAAGTACGATAATAAAACTTCATTGGGCTATAACAATTTGCGTGATTCAAACTAATGATTCAGTAGACAGCAAACATGCAAACAATATTAATAATATCGAACAAAAGGTGCCTCATCTAAACTTAGCATGATTAATCATCGCGCTACAAGGTATGTTCCTTTTCGGTCTCCCCAACGTGTAAGGGAAATATGTTTATCGATTTTTAGGAAAAATGTTCTGAATAATTTTAATGTATGCTTTCGCCTGTAAGATGTTTAAAAATGAATGCAGTAGCTCATTAGGAAATAATATAAACGCTTCAAATTGCCAGGGGTTGAAAAAAGTTTGCGATGAAAACCTTTCCTGCATAAAATTATGGTTACAAGAAGAACCTGACACTAAATATTCACTCCAACAGTTATTAGGTGTTTTTGGTAGTTATTTATTTTGGAAAAAAACATGTATATGGAACAAATTGGAGCAATGAGAAGGCCGGAGGCAAATGGAGAAATAGGCTTTTGAACCAAGTGATTTATGACGTATTTCTTGATTTAGTATGGGACTTTTACACAATCTGTATAATTATTCTATAGTTTCACAGACATTTTAGAAGAGATCGGCCATGTTCATTAGATCCATTACTTTCTTGTGTAACGACTTAGGCCTAGCCTACACCAACAAAAGTTCTTATACACTTTTTCACAAAATATTTTAACATTTGCTTCATCAGTCGTGGTTGATTAAAGAGATTCTAAATTTCATTTGTCTTTTTGATTCTTCCATGTTTCACACACTATAAAGGAAAGACTTGCAATATGCATAGAAATAGTTTCTTGAAACCTTGTATGATGATTTTCATTTCCCTGATTGCAGATCACAGCTTTTCCTCCTACGCTATATTAAATATGCTTGTAAAGGAATAGTAATAAATTAAAATACTCACCATTTCGTGATGATCAGGATAAAACGTTTGTTCTATGAGAGGGAAATTTTCTTTACCCAATCTTCTCTGGAGTTGAAGCAGATGTCCAAAAACCCACGGTTTGTCCTTTAAACGAAAAAACTATTTAGATAATGTTTTCTGTGTCATCAATTTCATGTTTGATGTCTTATATCGTCTTCGATACATTTTCTGTGACTTGAAAAAACTCAACAGGATTTAGACATGTTGTGTCGTCTCGCAGATAAGGTACCCGGGGGTAATAAGGCCCACCTAAGAAATTATAATTAATATCTACGAGAGAAATTTACTTTTTCAAACTTTTATTATTATAAAAAATAGAAAAGGGTATAAACTAAAATAATGGTAATGTTTGAACACAAAATAATCATGCTTATATGTCGAGACGCGAACATTAAAAAATTGTCTTCTGGGCCTTAAAGCCTGCAAGTGCATATAATAAGGCCCATATTTAAATGAACAAAAAACAAGTCAAACGAATAAACAAAACAAAAAAAATCAAATAATAAAAAGAAAATATTAAAATAATGATATCTAAACATAAATATCAAAAATATCCCTTTGGGCCTTAATATCTGCAACGACATATAATGAGATTTGAATGAGAGATAAAAAAAGTAACAGTTCAACAAAATACTGATAGAATAAAAATTAAATGTAACACACTAAAAAAACAGTATCAAAGATAACATATGGTATTAAGTATAAATCTAATACTTAAGGCATACAGTCTGGACACAAAAAATTTTCAGTATCGTCCGCAGTCAAACCAGCACAATCCTCATGGACCCAAAAACCACAAGAAGCACATCGTCTCATATCTGCTACATAGTCTTCGTAGCAAATCACACAGTCTCATTCTTCGTTATGTTCTTTTGTTTATGATGCAATGGAAGACACAGATTCAGATGGCGATTTAGCAGTATTCGATAAGACTGGAACGGGATCAAGTTGAGACTCCACCACCTTTAAAAATACGGATCGCTTGACTTCAACTTCTTTGTAATTTATAGCTTTACGTCTTGGAGCAGATTTTTTTTGACTAGATCTGGTGTTGGTAACACTTCCGCGAAGGAATTATTCAAAGGGATTAATTCTTTACGCAATTCATCTGAATCATATTCCGAATCATCGGCAGCGGCGGTCGTCTCCTGGTAAGGTTTCTCAGTTGCAAGACTTGGGGCAAATGCTTCAATGGGAAGAACATCCTTATCATAAGGGCATATTCCCGTAGCTCGAAAGCCGCTTGTAATATTTCCAATGGACATTGCTTTCTGCCATGTACGTGTGAAAACTTCAGAAAATCTTTCCCTGTTTAAATCACGTGTAGGATGTTTATCCCAGTACTTTAACAATTCATCGTCCCAATAAGCTTCAAATGCTCGAAATATAGCTTTGTCCATCGGCTGAAGCTCATGGGTGGTGTTACTCGGCAGACAATATAAGTGAATGCTTCTGCTTTCTCAGCAATTCTAATATCCAAATGGCATTTGGCTCCATCAAAAATTAAAATTACTGGCGGAGGCGACATGTATTCAATGAAATGGTCTAACCACTTATCAAACGTTTCTATCGTCATGCTCCCTTTAGGCGTCATCATAACTTTTGAGCCAGCCGGTAAGCCATCTGAGTAGGTTGGCTTCATTCTCTTGCCCTTAAAAAGAATGACAGGCGGTATGACATGTCCGAGAGCATTAGCGCAAGCGACGATAGTTGCGTTTTCGGCGTGTTCATGAGAAATTACATGCACTCGTTTTGCTCCTTTGGCTGCCAGAACGTTTTGTTGGTGGTGAAGAGTCAAGCGGCAACCCTTCTCGTCCATATTATAAATTTTTGCTTCTTAATTTATTAACTGAGTGCGCTCCAACAAATCTCATAGTTTTTTGAAATGATCGATAAAACGATTTAATTTTTGGGCTCTTGCTGGATTCATGAATTGAGATGGACGATATTCTCAGATGATTTTTCAGAAAAGTCCTTACCCACTCCCTACCAGCGAGACGAGTTTCCTGATTGAAACAATTCTTAATTTTCTTTTGCTCAACATACCTGAACACAGACCTTCTTAATGCTTTTGGTGTTAGCGGAAAACCTTTATCGGCTAGCCGAATTATTTTATTCTCAAGGTCAGTCTCTTCATTATCGGTCAATATTGTTTGTCTATCTAGTTTTCTCTTCACGCTTTGTGATTTAGTGTGGTTCCTAAGTGTTCGTCTGGGTATTCCGCATTTTTGTTCCACCCAGCGCTGAGATTTTCCCTCGTTAATATAATTTAATGCCTCTCTCATCATCTGTTCATCCCAATTTGCCCTTATCCCTCTGCTTTTTTTACCCATCTTCTGTAAAAGAATAAATAAATCTAATGAATACGTGTATTCATGGCGGCAGAAAATAAAGCCCAAGCCTTTTTCAATGCATTTAGAAAATAAGGCCCGGGCCTTATAACCTGTAGCACAATAAAATTAATTTTGAGGTTATTAAACAACAAACAAACCCAACATAAAAAGAAATACTACGTAAAATGAAACTATCAGATACATAGATTATCATGCATACATAATGAAAAATCTACGTATTATTAAAACAATTTAATTTGCTTACTTACCGGTCGAAATTCTTATAAAATACAGCACAGCGAAACGTGACACCATAGAACACGCCAGGAAGCTCATAACCATAGAACAAAATTACACTTCCGGCAACAGTAATACTAACTCATCTTGGTGTTGTTCTTTTGATAAAATTAATTGCATTAATCGCAAGCATTGAAAAAACAGCTTGATTCGTTTGCATCTTAGAAAGCACAAAATAAGAACTGAGAAACCTACTTATTTTTCACTTATCGATTTCAAAAGTTTGATGACCTTTGATCAAAACAACATACTGACTTTTATAGCTAAACACTCATGTAACTTTTGGTAATGAATGAATACGAATTTTCGAGTAATATGATATTGTCAGTTCTATGAGGTATTTGCGTCATAAAAATAACGGAGACAGTTAAAATGCGCCTTGTTATTCCGACATGTTCAAGGTAGCTTGTGCATTTTTGTATATAGATATAAATATAGATTCGTAAGATATTTTTGTATTGGTTTACTAAAACGCTACTTTTATTGTTTTGTTAAATTTGTTATCTAGTTTATGTAGACGTTAAGTATGATTTATTTATAAGTAACTATAACTACTGCTTTCAACACATTCTCTGATTTAGTTAGACGCTATTTATATTGACCATATAATGAAATACTCACACTTATTTCAGTATTTCTGAAGAGACGTTAATATCGGCTTATTCGATAAACAATGTTATTAAAGACGTATAGGTCGATGTTGGAATGCGAGAAATCAAGTTGTGTGAGTCGTAATAACCAACTTTTTAGGAAGATGAAAATGATATCTTTTAAACTTCCTCCGCGGCTTTGCATTGACAACATCGTGCAAAAATTAGCACGAAAGAGTAACTTTTGTGGACGCATCGCCACCTATAGTCGCAGGGCTCTGACAATAAGTCCTTCATAAAGTCAACATTATCCAGCTCATCTCAAAAATTCTCTCTGATTTATCACCTGTTGATAATAATAATATTTTTTGCCCAACAGTTACAGGGCAATAATACATAAGCACACCAGAAAACCAAATTAAATAAAAAAAAGCGATTAATGGATTTCAAATATAAATAATAATTGAATTAGCAGAAATTATGAAACATATTACAGAAAGAAAAAACATTATGAGAATTTTGACATTACGTTAAGCATCAATACGTTTAACATGCCTAGGAGTCTTGTAGGCGAACAATTTCAAAAAGCATTGTTGCATTCTCTCAATCGCCATTTTATGTTTGGAGTACTAGAGATACCAAATAATTGACGCATATTCTAATTTTGAATGGACGAAAGTCAAATACATTATTGTAAGAGCCCTAACATTAGTGAGACACCGACAGTTTCTCATTATTAGTCCATACGCCTTTGATGCGACATTAGCCATTATTGAGATATGCTCAACAAATTACATAATTGAGTCGAAAACAAGTCCTAGATCTTTAGTTTTCTGTAAACGAGAAAGTACCTCATCCCCTATAATGTAGTCAAAGACAAGCAGACTTTTTCTAAGTTACACTGTCTTACATTCAAAGTTGGTTTACTTGACACCAAGTCATTTCCATCTGTAAGGTATGACAGTCCACCGTATTTGTGATAAATAGGAAACTTTCCAAATAATGACCATAAAGAAGTTTAGATAGTATCACACAAGTCATTTATAAATAATGTGAAAAGTAGTGGGCCAAGATTTGATCCTTGCGGCACCCCGATGCGCAAGCATATTCATAAGAGTTGTAGCCATTACGCATATATGAAACAAACTGCCTTCTGTTAGATAGATATGATTAAAAAAATAACAAAGCAGGACGATGTAAGCCATAATTTTTAAGTTTGTCTATAAGAACTGCATGCAAGGTGTCAATAAAATCGGTATATACGTATACAATATCTACTTGAGGAAGTTTATCAACACAATCTGATATATATTGTGTAAATACCATCAGATTTATTGTCGTAGATCTTCTGGCCACAAAACCATACTGACAGCGTGAAATGAGATCAGGTACGGAATTATACAGGGTGTCCCAGAAGTCGACGTCAAGCCGAAACCGGGTGATAGGCAAAGTCATAACAGCTATCAGAAAAATATTTAAAAAAATTTTATGTATCTGTTTTGAAAATTATAGGTCTTTGAAAAAGATATAGAAATTTCACACCCTACGGCAGTCTGTCAACTCCTGTTACTACAAATATTAACTTTTTTTGGATTTTATTTTTACAATGTAATGATGAATAATGCATCTTTAAACTGGTGTCTCAACCTTACTGCCTACTTTTCTCGTTCAGGAAAAATTGCCACTTATTTCCTAACCAAGTATTCCAAAGTAAAACTTTGCTCAACTTTAACTGGCTGTACTGGAAAAAAATGAACTACGAGAGTTTGGCAAGTAACCTCAGAAGTTGGCGCATTTAATAATGATTTCAAAATGGTATAACACTTAGAAGATTACTCGTTAACTTATGCACAATTTTTATTTGAATAAAAACTGATGAAAATTTTTCAAAATTTCCTAATTAAACAGCGATTCTGAAAACGCACAAGGACCTTTAAGGATAACTGTTTGCACAACAGTGGGCGTCAAAATGCTGCTGATGATGATTTACCTGTACAGCAAATGCTCAAACTGTTTTCCTTCAGCCGCAATACACGCTCGACATCTTCTTAAAAAAGATCGGGTTATTAAACGAGCGAATCAACGGCTATTAACAAACTCAGCTGCTTCCAATAGTCTTTGCCGTAGCTCAGCTACATTTTGAATCGGCTTGAAATACACTTTTTCTTTTACAGTTCCCCAGTAAAAAAATCTAAAGGATTCAACTCAGGTGATCGGGCTGGCCACGGTATTATACCAGACCGCCTTATCCATCTGCCTGGAAAGTTTTGATCGAGATACTCTCTCACTGAGAGTGCATAGTGCGCTGGGCAGCCATCATGCTGAAACCACATGTCCCTGTAAATACTCAGTGGCACGTCCACCAATAAATTTTGTACATGATTTTTCAAAAAATCCAAATAAACCTCAGCAGTCAAAGTCTCTGGGAACTCAAACGGACCGATTATTTTACCATTTTAAATTCCTGTCCAATGGTTTATCTTGAAGCGATATTGAGATTTATCTTCTCTCATCAAATGTGGGTTTGCTACGTGCCACTCGTGTAAGTTATGCAGGTTCATGTACCCATCTTTCTTAAATGTGGTCTCATCCGACCATAAAATCTTTTCAAAGAACTGTGGATCTTTCCTGTGTCTTTCTAACATTGTGCGACAAAAAGCAACTCGGGGCTCATAATCCCGGGGCAGGAGAGGTTGAACACGCTGTATGTGTGTAATTTTGAAAAATTTTCATCAGTTTTTATTCAAATAAAAATTGTGCATAAGTTGACGAGTAATCTTCTAAGTGTTATACCATTTTGGAATCCTTATTAAATGCGCCAACTTTTAAGGTTACTTGCCAAACTCTCGCAGTACATTTTTTTCCAGTACAGCCAGTTAAAGTTGAGCAAAGTTTTACTTTGAAATACTTGGTTGGGAAATAAGTGGCAGTTTTTCCTGAACGAGAAAAGTTGGCAGTAAGGTTGAGACACCAGTTTGAAGATGCATTATTCATCATTACATTGTAAAAATAAAATTCAAAAAAAGTTAATATTTGTAGTAACAGGAGTTGACAGACTGCCGTAGGGTGTGAAATTTCTATATCTTTTTCAAAGACCTATAATTTTCAAAACACATACATACAATTTTTTTAAATATTTTTCTGATAGCTGTTATGACTTTGCCTATCACCCGGTTTCGGCTTGACGTCGACTTCTGGGACACCCTGTATATTCGTCTGTGAATGATTATTTCCAGGAGTACATTTATAAGAAATCGAAATTGCGCTACAGTAAACTGTATGAATACGATACCGAGATTTGAAAATGGGGCACACTCTTGCACCTTTCCAGGCATCTGGAAATGTACGTGTTTTTGTGGCTAAATTGACACGAATACAGTCTTTAACAAAAAAAGACGGTGACTTATCTGGTCCAGTAGTTAGTTTATTTTTGAGCTTCCAAGAGGCAAATATAATTTCTTGTGCACAGATATGAAATAAGTTTATTCCAGAATAATTGCCCGTATGAGTAGTTGGTGAAACCAACCTCGGTAGTCGGGCCCCTACGCTTGCCGGCATCTTTGAGTGGACACAAAGACTGAAAGCAAACAGGTCATATTCAGCCTGAGTTTAGTTTCAGCGACTTTTGCATAGAACGTCAATGGTGAGAACGTGGTGAACACTTAGTGCTCTCCTGGTTGACCAGTCGCCTATGTGGTTCACGACACTTGTTCGTCCGTCAAGCGAGCTGAGATTCAAAGCTGACAATTTCATCCTACTCGCACCAGATACTGAGTTTTTCAGTAGACCATATCCGCTTGATTGCATTTTGTCGCTGAAAATCATTAAACAATATTGCATACGGTTGGTCATGGTCATAGAGATGAAAAACAAAACATCATATTCAGCTGGCAGGAAAACAAACGTTTGGAAAATGAAATTCGTCAATACATCACACGCAGCTTATTTTTCACTTTCAACATCGCATCGATCCGTTCTTTGTGTAAACATTTATTCCGCTTTTGCAAAACGTTACCTTTAGAATTAGATTGGTTTAAAGGCACATGGAAAATGTTGTACCTTCCCCACAATTTTCTTAAACAGCACATACAAATTTTACAAAAGCATTTCAGATTTGATGATTTATATCTTGTACATTTAATGCGACTGAAGCTTAAAGTATTACTCCTTTGTGTAGCATAGTTGTATTAATTTAATATTTGCTATTATTTTATCCTAACTGTGAAAATGTGAAATAAAGACCTTAAATACTAGAGCTACTTAAATACAATTCCCTTTTCACACTTTTCCAAGCGCTTTTCACCAGGAAATTCCTCAAGTTTTGGAAAAAGATGAAAGTCTGACGGTGCTAAGTCAGAGCTGAATTGTGGATAATCTAGTAATTCTCAACGAAACTCGATCTGTTGCGTCTGTGTTCTAGCCGCTAAGTGAGGCCAAGCGTTGTCGTGAATAAAGACGACCTCACCGGGTGTTTTGACTAGCGAGCAAAATTCAACAAGCTTTTTCCGGTTAAAGCCCGAATTACAGAGCGCACTTCAAAATCAGCAAGCTTACTGATTGACAAGGCGACAAACAGAAACCAACAGAAAGTTGGTCACGTGAAGGTATGAGCAAGCACCTTGCGGACTCGGTTCTTAGTTTGAAAATGGCCCTCGTAATAATAGCAGAATACTCGAGGTTTCTTGCTTTACCCGGATCCTATAAACATAAAATTTTATTAACACGGCCTACTATACCCCATTCGTAGTCCATTACGCCCAGACAAAACACAAGCGAGATTGTACAGGTCCGTATTTTCCTCAATGGTCTTGGAATAATCTAACAAAACCAATGATTATTCTTATAGAAAAGAAAATTCTTCTTTATTCACTGGAGTTACTTAAATCATCCTCCGAATGGTTAATATTAATTATTACAGACTTTTTTCCTAGTTTCCTAGTGTGGTATGGAGCATTATCAAGTACGATGACGCTATTGTCGTCAAGCTTTGGGAGCGTTTCTTCAAACCATCGTTCAAATTAACTCCCGTCCATTTCTTCATGATAGACAATATTATACAGGGTGGCGCATCGAAAACGAAACAGACGCATTTACTGGCAGCTCATTTTTTTTTTAAAAACGCTCAGACCCGTCGATTTTTTTTTCGAGGGGGACACAAGTTTGGCAAAAAATCACGTTAGCACATGCAGCCCCCTAAGCGGGGGCGACACCACCCCCAAAATCTTAAATGGAAAGGGGGTCGAGTAATACCTTATTTTAAAGGTCTTTCAATTCCCGTTATAATGATATAAAATTAATGTACTTCAGTTCAGTAGTTTTGAAGATTTATTGATTTAAAGCTTAAATAAAACTAATACACCATCATTAGTGGAGATTTGGCAGCAAAGTAATTTGAAAATGAAGAATGAACTGACCCGTTACGCAAGTAAATGTTGAATATGACCACCATGACTCTCCATGGAATAATAAAGATTTTGCTCAAAACGTTGCCGCACATTTTGCAATAATTGAGTAATTTCAGTTTCAATTCTTTGTCGCAGGTCTTCTAATGATGTTGGCTGAGTAGCATTTCAAATGACCCCACATAAAGAAATCCAAAGGTAATAAATCTGGCGATCTTGGGGGCCATTCAATGGCACCTCTTCTACCAATCCATCGATCTAGAAACGTCTGATCTAAATATTGTCGAACACGTAATGCGTAATGTGGTGGAGCACCATCCTGTTGGAACATCGACCTATTCGCAATGTACCGCCGATCATTCTGATTTTCAATTATGGCTGTTAATGCAGGATCTATGGCGTCTTCCAGTAATTCCAAATACATTTCACCGGTCAAATTTCCACGTAAGAAAGAAGGACCAACTAAATGATCGCCAAAAATGCCAGCCCAAACATTTAATTTTTGTGGCTGCTGCGTATGAACCGTATGATATATTCTGGGATTAGAATCGGACCAATATCGGCAGTTATGACGATTTACTACGCCATTTAAGAAAAAGGAACATTTGTCGGAAAAGCAAGTGTTGAATAGAAAATGTTCATCGTTTATAATTCGCTCACTCATATCTTCACAAAATTGTAATCGCCGATCAAAATCGTCTTCATTAAGTTCTTGTACCAGGTGAATTTTATACGGATGAAAACTATGGGACTTTAGAATCCGTTGGACAGTACGTCAACTAACGCCATACACAGTCTCCAATTTGCGGGTACTTAACGTAGGATCTACATAAACTTGCCCTAAAACCCCCACTTCTATTGCTTCGTTCCTTATGGGTTTTTTAATGTTGCGTTTTTTATTGGCGACTGACCCAGTTTCCCGAAATTTAGCTACAAGTTCTAGAACATATTTTCGATGCACGTTACTGTTCTCATGTCACTCATAAAATATTTCTGCTGTTCTATTAGCGCACTGATTATTTACGAAAAATATTTC